AGGAATGCAGAAGAGGAAATCTTCTTCTCAGATACATGATTGCAGATTAAGACTTTTGCTAACATACACAGCACTGAATCCATAAACATGAAGTTTGTTACCCACCTATGATCAGTATCTTCTTCCTGCCTCCCTCTTCATCAAAATCGTTGTGAAAAAAATGGTCCTGACTTCCCACACTACTTTATTAATTGATTTCCACTGAACAGCAATGCAGCTGTTCAGAAAACAATAAAAATCCCTTTTAACTGAAATTTTGTTTTCAAGGCATCTTTTTTCTCTATCTCTCTTTAATCCTAATGTGCAAAGAAGATACAGTAATGATAACTTAAAGCTTCATTCTCTTTAATCAGAAATTCCTGTCCTTCCCCCCCCATGTCCAATGGGCTGCCTATCATCAGTTACCTGATTGCAAATTAATGCTCAGGCAATGAGGCAGAGGTTCCTGCACACTTGACAGCTGAGTAGATTTCTCATCCGTGTGTGTGTGTGTGTGAGTGAGTGTGCGTGTGAGTGAGTGTGTACACATACATATATATAATTTTTTTCCTAAAGGCCTCATACCATATGCCTACTGAGAGAAAGGCAGCTATAGAGAACACATCTTTTCAGTCCTTGAATGAAAAAAAAAAAAAACCAAAAATCCAAAATTATGTAATAAAATACAGTATAGGAAGTATTCTTTCCTATTTTTAGAGTGATTGCTACTACTACTAGGCTATAAATTAAATTCAGCAAAATAAGAAAATAACTTAAACTCGTACCTGGTGGGGAACTGTAGTTTCTCTGACTACAGCTCTGTTGTGTCAGACTTATGACTCTCATCCTTGTCTTCCAGAAACACATACGCTTAATAAGAAAAAATCATAGAGAAATTTTATTACTATAAAGGACTATTTTGTAGATATATTTTTGGCAGTTGTAGAAAAATACATACAAATAAAATCCGCAGGAACAGATACTGTTGTTTGGTATTTACATAAACTCAAACCACCACCTATTTGGAAACAGGAGCATGAAGACAGTAGCACCAAGATTCAAACCAAGTCCACCCCCAATAATACTCGTAAAGTCTAGTAGAAATCTATGACGACATCAATAAAATTTGTCAGTAGCTACATTTTTTAACGTTCCTAAGTATTTAAATTACATAAATTTAAATGAAAAACGCTAAACAATCAACATCACAGGTAACCAAAAAAGTTTACAGAAATATTACAAGTACAGTTTGCAGATTCTGACTTATGCAAAGCCTGAGTATAACAAGAAATAAGTTATATATTTAGTTCAGATATCCTACTGAATTTGAAGTCAAGACTAAAAAAGAAGTATGTTTATTCGGAGTAAACGAAGTACAGCTTTTGTTCACAGAGAGAGCATCGAGACTTGGGACAAAGTTTACCTTACTGCACAAACTTGACGGCCTCAACACATTCACTGAAAAATTCCTTGTAACAGTCAGCATCGTGGCTCCCATGTCTAAAGATGTTCCCTGCCAAAATAAGTAAACATTGTGCAAAGTGCTTATGCACTTTGTAGCAGGTAACTGTAGCAGGTAGCAGTAGCAGGTAACTATGCTACTTCCACATAAAACAATCAAGAAACTTATTGTTTTTCAGGTTAGCCAGATTGCACTTTTCAGGTTATTGTTCTGTGAGTTAAATCAGTGCCAGACCCATACAAGTAATGGTATTAGGCCTTAAAAACACAGCATAACTCTACACCCACGACCGCTAAACCGTACACCCACAAACCCTAACGTATTTCTCAAAGACGTTTAAAACTAGAAAAAGTAAAAAAACCCACAGCGTAGTCCCTACTCACGCTCAAACAGGCTCCAAAGTCCTGGCTGCAGATCCCTGAACTGTAAGCGGCTGTAACCTCAGAGGTGGGGTGCGGTGTCGGGGAGCTGTTGCAGGTACGGAGAGCAAACGCTACAACTTGTTAAACATCACCCCGGCCGCTGCGACGCAACACCGCGGAGCGTGAGTTTTAAAAATAATCCTGGCCGGCGACCACCTACTTGAGGGCCCCGCTGGCCGAGGGAAGCGCAGCCCTCCTCCCCGCTGCGACTTGCGAGTTCCG